AGTTTACTTTGAGTAGTCGGTTGTTTTGAAGTCATGCTTTTGTCTCGGTTGGTTCGTTTTTTCGTTGTGTTTTGACCTAATCATTTTTATAGTTGGAGAGATTATTGGTCAAATCCGACATGATTTCTTTATTTTTGGCATTAGCACTAAAAATTGCAAATGCAAATATTTCTCCTGAAGTTTCTCCATTAGAGTGTTTAGACTTTCCTTGTGACATGGGATTCTCGATCAAGGCCTAGAAACGAGACCCAAGCTTAGCACTTTCCTTATTTGAGTCCATTTTTTCTTTGTTTTTGTTTAAGGTCTCCGGCGGCGCCTTTCCACCATCATCATCGAAGTATCCCTGATCCCGATAGAGATTCAAATTGTCTCAGTAGCTCTCTCCATAGTTATTTTTCCTTCTCATTATGCTTTGCTTAACCTCTTTGCTGCAATTGAATCTAAATACATTTTCTACTACTAATTATATATATATATATCATGTCTATTTATCATCTATGTTTAAATTTGTAATTGTACTCGCTCGTAATAGATTTTGTTGAAAATCAATGCACCAAAAGTGCATGGTTTGAAGAAGAAGAAAAAATATTGAATTTTGTCAACAATTGTAGGCACCAAAAATTAGGTGTAGAAATTGTTGATTTTTTATATGGGCAAATTACAAACTCTAGTCACTAAAACTTAGGGTATTTACAAATTAGTCCTTAAAGCTTCAACTATAAATACCCTAGCTCATTTAGCTTCAAAACCATCCCAAAGCATTCTAGCTTTCTTCCAATACTAGAGAGATTTTAGAGAGTTTCTTGAGAGTTGTTTTCTCCTTTTTATCTAGAGAGAATTATCATTGTTTTCTCCTTGGTAGATCAAGAGAGGTTGTAATTCCTATTTTCTCAAAGTGAAATTCTTCTACCGTTGCCCGTGGTTTTTACCCTAAATATTTAGGGGTTTTCCACGTAAATTTTGTGTCTCTTTTATCTTCATTTTTATTTTCTCAAATTATCAGTTGCGATTTTACTCTATCCGATAGCCGTCTTCCGTAACAATTGGTATCCGAGCTAGATTAGAGTGTGTAATATATGCTTATTGTCTTTGTGGTTGCCACCAAAAGGTGGATCCTCCAACATAAGAAAGTAAGAAGGTATTACTCATTCTTTGAAGGTTCCAGAGAACTATTCACGATAGTGAAATAGTGGGAGCTATCCGTAAAAGAAGCTATGGCAACGAAATTTGATATTGAAAAATTCAATGGGAGAAATTTCTCATTGTGGAAATTGAAGATGAAAGTCATCCTGAGGAAAGACGGGTGTCTAGCATCTATCAGTAAAAGGCCGGTAGATTTCACAGATGACAACAAATGGATCGAAATGGACGGGAATGCTATGGCAAACTTTCATCTAGCATTAGCATATGAAGTATTGTCAAGCATCGAGGAGAAAAAGAAAGCTAAGGAGATATGGGATCATCTCACCAAACTGTACGAGGCCACATCGCTGCACAATAAAATTTTCCTTAAGAGAAAATTGTACACTCTCCGTATGCCAGAATCTACTTCAGTGACGGAGCACTTAAATACACTGAACACTTTATTTTCTCAGCTTACATCTTTAAGCTGTAAAATAGGAGAACAAGAACGTGCTGAACTTCTACTTCAAAGTCTACCGGATTCGTATGATCAACTCATCATCAACTTGACAAACAATAATGTCACCAATATAGTCTTCGATGACATTGCAGCTGTTGTTCTACAAGAAGAAAATCGGCACAAGAACAAGGAAGACAGACAAGTAAATCTGCAACAAGCAGAAGAGTTGACAACAATGACAACGATGAGAGGGAGATCAACATAACGTGGCCAAAACAGCAGTCACAAACATGGTAGATCGAAGTCGAGAAGAAAGAAGAATTTAAAGTGTTACAACTGTGGAAAGAATGGTCACTTGAAGAAGGATTGTTGGAGTCTAAATAAAAACTCCAATCCACAAGGCAATACCGCAAACACTTCAGATGATGGAGATGCTCTATGCTGTGAAGCGTCAACCACCGTGGAAGGAAGAAAACGATTTGCAGATATATGGCTCATTGATTCGGGAGCAACATATCACATAACCTCAAGAAGAGAATGGTTCTATCATTATGAACCTGTCTTAGGAGGATCTATGTATAGTTGCAATGATCATGCCTTAGAGATCGTTGGCGTGGGAACTATCAAATTGAAGATGTACGATGGAACAATCAAAGTTGTTCGAGATGTGCGGCACGTGAAAGGCCTGAAGAAAAATTTTTTATCCTACGGATTGTTGGATAATAATGTAAGGAAGATTGAAACATGGAAAGGAATCATGAAGGTGTTCCGTGGAGCGGTTGTGGTGCTGAAAGGCGAAAAAATAGCTGCAAACTTGTACATGCTGAAGGGATTGGATAAAAGCAAATCTACTACAGGATATGTGTTCAAAGTTGCTGGTGGAGCTGTAAGCTGGGTTTCAAAACTGCAGTCAGTTGTGGCTACGTCAACAACAGAAGCAGAATATGTAGCAGCTACACAAGCCAGTAAAGAAGCAATTTGGTTGAAGATGCTATTGGAGGAGCTTGGGCACAATCAAGAGTATGTCTCTTTATTTTGTGACAGTCAAAGCGCCTTGCATCTAGCAAGGAATCCAACATTTCATTCAAGGACAAAGCACATACGAGTTCAGTACCATTTCATTCGTAAAAAGGTGGAAGAAGGGACGGTAGATATGCAGAAGATCCATACCAAAGACAACATAGCAGTTTTCATGACGAAGGCGATCAATACTGATAAATTTACTTGGTGTCGATCCTCTTGTGGCCTGTCAAAGACATAAGCAACATGATGGTACATGGTAGAAAGATTGGTGTGAAGATATGATTATTCCAATCAAATCTTCAAGTGGGAGATTGTTGAAAATCAATGCACCAAAAGTGCATGGTTTGAAGAAGAAAAAAAATATTGAATTTTGTCAACAATTGTAGGCACCGAAAATTAGGTGTAGAAATTGTTGATTTTTTATATGGGCAAATTACAAACTCTAGTCACTAAAATTTAGGGTATTTATAAATTAGTCCTTAAAGCTTCAACTATAAATACCCTAGCTCATTTAGCTTCAAAATCATCCCAAAGTATTCTAGCTTTCTTCCAATACTAGAGAGATTTTAGAGAGTTTCTTGAGAGTTGTTTTCTCCTTTTTATCTAGAGAGAATTATCATTGTTTTCTCCTTGGTAGAGAGGTTGTAATTCTTATTTTCTCATAGTGAAATTCTTCTACCGTTGCCCGTGGTTTTTACCCTAAATTTTTAGGGGTTTTCCACGTAAATTTTGTGTCTCTTTTATCTTCATTTTTATTTTCTCAAATTATCAGTTGCGATTTTGCTCTATCCGATAGCCGTCTTCCGCAACAGATTTCACCACTACCCTTATTTTTAATATTGTAGAAGCTAGCTATCAGCAGATCCAAATAGACAATCTAACATTGTGGAAAATAGTGGTTGAGATCATCCTAATGATGAAGCAACAAAGCTGGTTAGCAATTCAATACTAGATAAACCTAGTGATCTTGAATCAAACTTACACTTTCAAACCTATCATTTAAAAATCAAACGGAGGAATTAGGGTTATAATTGAGGTTCTAATTTGGGAATTAGGGTTATGAACTTGGACTAAGTAAAAAATTAGGGTTAGGGTTATGATTAGAGTTTAAGAATAAGGGGATTAAAAAATGATGATTAGAGGTGACAGTCTCACACCGGCATCCACAATCATTCCCGATGATGCCACCGACAGTCGGTGAACGGCAGTGAACGACGTCCACGTCGGGAGGATGAACGATAAATATTCAATCGAAGACAACGACAACAGTGAAAGGAAGTTCAAAGCTTTAAAACAAATTAGGATTTTTTTAGTTTAGGAGTACTATTTGATATAATTATAATTTTGTATATTTGATATAATTTTGGTTTAATAGTATTTTGGTTCATGTAAAAATAAATATTTAAATTTAAAAAAATATAAAAAACTATTAAATATTTAATCAAGTAGTGGTCGAACTAAAGAATGATAAGTATGTGTTCTCAAATTTGTAGTTTAATTACAATTTAGGTCAATGTAAGTTTAAATATTAGACAAATTAAAAGTTGTCTTGTGAATTTTGAGTTTTTTATTATAAATTTAAGGTGAATACAAGGTAGTATATGTACAAAGACTTTTAACTATTTGACAGTGAATGCTCATACCCCTACATACGCAGTGCTTGAACTCGGGACCTCAATGATAACAACAATCCCCTTAATCACTAAGGTTGCTTGTTTATGCTGAATATTGAGTTTAAATACCTAATAAGTCTTTATATTTTTCTTAAATAATTTAATATTTTGGCCTTGTCAATATTTAATTTTGGATTTGTCCTTGATTACAATAAGATTTTCAACTAAATTATAGTTATACATTGAGTACTTTATAATTTAATGTTTTATAAACTAATTTATCGGTGCTCATTGTTAGTGGTGTTCATCAGTACTCATCAAGGGTGGAAGAATCATTCTTTTTAATATTGTAGAAGCTAAGCTGATAGCACATCCAAATAGACAATCTAACATTGTGGAAAATAGTGGTTGAGATCATCCTAATGATGAAGCAACAAAGCTGGTTGGCAATTCAATACTTGATAAACCTAGTGATCTTGAATCAAACTTCCATTCTGAAACCTATCATTTAAAAATCAAACAATAAAAACCAAACTATTTTTACGAGATAAGAATGTCTAAATCTTTTTTGGAATCAAATTCAAAACTCTTAAAACCAAGTACACTTGAATCAAACCTTGTATTCTCAAATTCACCTTCCATCTCATTAATTTGCCTCTAGTTTTGACATATAGCCAAATACAATTTGTTCTTCTTGCAAAAGCAAAATGAATATTGTTTCATTATTCATCTCCTCGCAACAACCGTAAACATGATACAGTTGAAAAACACATTCGTAATCATCAACAATGATCTGACAGCTCTCTCAAGAGTTCCACAACTTCATCAGACGATCGAAGGAGATAGCGTGAACTCGATCTTTCCCTTGCAACGGTACAAGAAAAATAATTGTCTGGAGGAAGATCAAGCACGTAAGGACCCTCTTGATCGGTTACCCTAGATTGCAAAACACCTTCTCCTATGGAATAGCTCGTGTTTTGTTCCATATTTGACAATGAACGTTGCCTTCTAAGATGAGATGTCCTGATTGGTGTTGGTACTTGGGGAGAGGAAGGGGTTTTTGAAGGAGGCTCCGGCTCAAAAAAGGTATAAATGTCTTCATCCTGAACCAATTGTGTGTGTTGCAAGTTATTCAATCAATGTTTCATGAGTTCCTTAATCTAGGAATACTTGAGAAGAAAGGATAACAGCTAAAAGTTGGTGATGGAAACACACCTTGGGGAGAAAGTGACCGATACACAGGACATAATCAATGGGTTCCTTCATGCCTTTTTGAAGAACTACTTCTCCGAGGATTCGATCCATTGCAGCACCCTATGTATTCATTCAAGCATAATATGATATATCCTTATTGAATACAACAAGAGGAGCAATCAATACCTCAAAAGCATACCTTTGTAGCACCAAAGCATCTAACTTCAACAGACCGGCTACCTCGTACAACATCAAGAGCTGCGTTCGAGATAGGGCCAGTCCAAAGATGTTGCAATACATCTCGTGCTTGAAGTCTTCCGAACTCCAAATCTGAATATCAAATCATAATAAACCAGCATGTATTCATGTGATCCTCTGTTGTGCTGAATATAAAGTTAATAGTGTAATTACCTGAATATTTATAGTTCCATATAAGTGAAGTTTCTCGGTGCTCGAAATGAGATCGAGGAGTTCTCTCAGTGAAATATTCAAATACATGCTGAAATCATGAGTAAGCATCAGACGCAGAAGAAAATCATTCGGATTGCAAGCATCATAATCCAACTAACCTTGACACTATCCACCCATTCCGTAGTTATACTTTCAGGCATTGTTGTGATCCACTCTCCCTTTGTAGAACGTAAAAACATCCCATTTTCAGCTGCCAACCACAGGCTGTAATCACCAAAATTCTGTAAAGCAAATTTCGAGTTCAGAAACTTCATTTTAAAGCAACAAGCCAAAGTGAAAGGATTTATATTTAGAAAAATATAAGTATACATCATCCAGGACACTTCTTCTGCTTCCACTGAGGACAAGAACAGTTGTCTTTGGATCATCACAAAGCTTTCTCAAAGGTTCGTGTAAACCCGGACGTAACTTGGGCTTCAATTCTTTAATTTGACTGTCCTTCCTCCCAAGGGTTTCCGCTGGCTCAGTTAATGTTGCATTCAGTCCCTGTAACATGGAAGAATGAATACAAAAAATGCAGGTTAAGAGAGGTTTTCCTCTTTTCATGTAATCTTCAGAGATAGAGATAGTTCTTGACATTGTGAAAGGATCGAATACGAAAACTAGCATACCAATATGATAAGCCGGTTATTGCAATGTGTGTAACGCTCAACCGCAACTTCAAACGGAAGTGGCTGTGGAATTTGTCTTGTCCTCAATTTAGATTCAACAATGGTGTCATTAAGTTCACTGCACATACACAAAAAACTTCAGTAAGGTCTTATTTTCAGTCTTCCTCACATTGTAAGGCACCAAACCCACCTTACAAAGGTTGCAGCCCATTCTTGAGATGTGTGGGAAGTTACATGCTTGAAGTTATGGTGGTGGCGTATTTCCCTTTCATCAGCTGGCATGTTCAAAGCATAGCTAATTGAAGAAGCAACTTCAGTGATATTCCATGGATTAACCAAAATGGCTCCAGCACCAAGAGACTGAGCAGCCCCAGCAAACTAGAAAATATGCAGACATTACGAAAATTTAAGCTTTCAAGTTTGAACAATCAGAAAAGCCCTGAACAAATGTATAATCCAAATCCAACAAAGTTTTAAGTACCTCGCTTAGTATAAGGACCCCTTTCTTGGACGCTTGGCAGGCAACGAACTCATAGCTGACAAGGTTCATCCCATCCCTTAAAGATGTCACAAGAGCTACATCTGCATAATTTGTTAATAGCCAAAAGTTTGGACATGCATAAGACAAGTTATCATTTGAAACAAATATAGTGATTCAAATTGGTGTTATATGACACAAAATTCGATACCGGTAACAGCGTACAGAGCACATAATTCGTGAAATTCAAGAGAACAATCCTGTTAAAGAGTAAGGAAAATGCTTTAGAAATCTTCACACGATCCTTCAAAAACAACAGAACGATAAGTTCAAAGAAATGGCCTAAGATTTATATACTAAAGGGTGGAAATGTTAATGATTGTTCATCCAGGACATACAAAAAATCATGCACACAACTGCTCAACACAACAAAATTTGAACTTTTTCTTATCAGGTATGCTAAAATCATGCCAAGACAATTGCTTTCTATCTTAGTGGTTGTTGATTGATCATATTCCTTGTATTGCATTATTTCATCAATATATGCATCCTTAATAAACACAGACATCGTCTACGCATGTGCATGTGCATCCTCACCAATTATTGATTAATAAGAGATGTTTTTTCCAGTAAAACAGATAAAAGATAATAAGGTATAGACAAACCAGATGATGTATTGGTACATCAGTAAGAGTTCCAAATCTTCCATTAATGCGCCCAACAATCTCATGGACGTGGCTTGTAAGCTTTTGATCTATGATATCAAGAAAGTAAACAAGTAAGGTTCATGAAGGAGCCTTGGATTATAAGAAGACTAAATGAAATGAAACAATATTGTGGTAAGGAATAGAAAGAAGATTGAAGGAACATACACTCGGGAACATTAGTCCTGGTAGGGACAGCAATTTGCACGAGAACCACCTTATTACGCCAAATGGGATTTTCCTCAAGGAATTTTTCAAACGCCAAAATCTTCTGTGGTATTCCCTTGATCATATCAAGCCGGTCAACGCCTAACATTACCTGACCATCATTGAAATTAACCATAAGTTGAAAAAGTGTGCTTCCCTTAAATCAAAGAAAAGATTTGAAAATGCCCAATGAATTCCTACCTTTCGGCCGGCAAACCTCTCTTTCAAGTCTTTAATGTGATATTGTACTTCAGGGAGTTCAAGAGCTTTAATGAATCGATCAGAATCAATCCCTATTGGAAACTGAAATTTCAAGACAACAGAAAAAGGTAAATGTGTAAGGGTAAAATGCCTTCCTATAGTCATATGTGATAAGGAAAATTGAAAAGGTAAGTTAAGACATACTGTAGCTACACGAGTCAGCTTTCCTTGGTCCTCAACTCCTTCAGGTGTGCCCTCCAGCCCGAGAATACGAGTACAGGCACTAACAAAATGCCTTCCATAGTCATATGTGTGGAATCTGGAATGTCATAAAAGCAACAACTAAAACATCAATGACCTTGAGAACCGACATTGCAGTTCGAAAGAAGAATCACTCCAGAAATTTAGCAGTACATAAAACTTGGTGAATTCAGATATCCAACCAAGAAATCAACCAGTACACGATTGAATTTTCTTTCTAATAAAACAATGTCAAAAGCACAATGATCTTACCCTATTAAATCAGCAGCAAGAATGGACCTCAGCAGCTCCGACCGAGATGGCAGTGTCCTATGGATTTCAGAAGACGGAAAAGGAGTATGCAGAAACCAACCGACTTTCATTGTACGGTTCCGTTCTTTTAGATACTTGGGAAGAAACATAAGGTGGTAATCATGGCACCAAACCACATCCCCTTCCTCGTAATGTTGTAGAACCACATCGGCAAACAACTGATTGGCTTTCTTATAAGCATCGAACTGAGATTGAAAAGTACGAGTAGTTGCAAGACGGTCTTCTTGCGGAAGTCCAAGATAGTGAAACAGTGGCCACAGTATGTTGTTACAATATCCATTATAATATTGCTGAGCAGTTTCTTCTTCAAGGAATACAGGTATGCACCTCTGCATTCATTATAGCACAAAGTTGAGCATATAAACTTGCTAATTTTTCAAGATTAGTATCATTGAACAAAGAATAGTAGACCTGTTCAGCTAAAGCTTGAGTTAATGACTTTTGTCCTATTTCATCAGGGACATTTAACCCTGCCCAACCAATCCATCTGGTCTCGAATTCCTTCACACCTTCATAACAAAATTAAAATAAAACCATAAGAAAAGCGAAAAGAGAAAATCAATAAGAAAGAGGAATGAGAAGTGATGAGTTTACCAAGAAGTGCACTGACTAGACCTCCTACGCTAATATCAAGTTTCCAAGAATCTTCCCCAAGCCTAATTGCAGAAACTGGCAGCCTATTAGCAACCACCAACAGGCGCAGTTTGGTTGATTGAGGATCATTATGTTCACATCCATCGTACGAAGCCGTTGCTTTAGAAGTGGGTTCTGAAGAGTCTTCACCGTGGAACACACCAGATGAAGTCCCAGAATCAGATTGCTCTAAGGAGTCTTGGGTTGATGATGGTAACTCATCATTAAAAGACTTGGAGAATTTCCGTAACTCCCTTTCTCTAAGAAGTCTTTCCAATCTTGTTCTTGGTCTGCCTGGGATATTACTCTTGTATTTGCTCCCTGGCATGCCGTCAGTTTGCAGCAAAGCCTACGTGAATCAAGAAAACCGATAAGAAATCGAATAAATTTTATAAGGTAGAGAAAAGGGTAGTTTAGAATTACCAGATGGCTCTTGTTATGCAAAATGCACATCTCTTGGGATGCAATCGCCATTGACTTCGGAATGACAAGATCGCTTGCTCGACGAAGAATGCGGATTTTTTTGGGGGGAAACTTAACAGCTAGGACTAAAATTGAAATGCAATATCTATCTCCATATGCAAAAAATCATATTTATAGAGATTCTTCACAGAGTTAGTTATCCATAACCGTTTCTGTTGTTGAAAATGGCCAAAGGCAACAGCCCTTCTCCTCTCTTCTCCTTCTAGGCCATTTTTTTTAATTATTATTATTTTGAAAAAGTACAGACAGATAATACCAAAATTAATTAATTTTTATCAGTAGTGTTTGCTATTAGTATTATTACTTTAAAACTCATGTATTTTTGTTCAGTAAAATTATTACTTAACTTTGCAATATGACTACTCCCTCAATATCTGAAGAACAATTCATAGATGTGCATCATGATCATCCTTAGTATAAGAGTACATAAGAATGTCAGACCATCACTGATAAGTTAACCTAATTGACTAGCCATAGAGGGGACCATTCAGGGTCTACACCAACTACACACCCCTCAACATGCAATTCACTAAGATCATCCTCCATGTTGGGGATTCTGGTATTTTGAAATCCCCTCGTTATATGAGGCCCAACTCCCGAAAGAACATCACCAACTACTGCCAACATCATATGTACAGGGGACATAGTATTGAACGATGTGTACGCCTTAAGTACGAGGTTCAAGAATCAACAAGAAAGAGATTCTGGAGCAATTTTTGGATAGAGGAACACCATATGTAAAGGGTACATAGTATCTAATGTCCACTACATCAAAACATTTTTTAATAGTGGCTTTTTTCGAGTAAACACTATTAATTTTGTATATCTCACGATCTTTACAGGAAAATAACACAAATGGCAAAACTTGAAGCGTTTAAGGGAATATGCCACAATATTCATGTACCTGTAGTGTTGTTTATCGTAAAAACGTCGCAATAGACTGATATGCAATGGTGTTCTTGGGGAAATGTTGCTACAGACGCTCAGTGGCGTTTGTCTAACAAACGCCAGAATAAAATTCATATTTAGTGGCATTTTATTTTGAATCTATGAGCTCTCAATTGGATCTATTTGTTAGTGTGATTTGCATTTAAATGAATTGTTCGATTAGACTATTTGATTTATTGGATAATCTAGTTGGCTAGAGGTAGTCCATAGAGCCTTGGTGTTAAGTCTAATTGTCCATTTTGGACTTTGGTCATAAATCTCCATAAATGGAAGTGGTGCCTTGGTTGTCATCTGGTTAGCATCTTCTCTTGTTGGTGTTGTTCATTCAGTTTCATTATTCCCTAAATGCATTAGCTTCGCTTGCGTTTGTGTTTGTGTTTGAGGGATCACAATGAGAAAAATGATAAAAATTATATCTTGAAGAATATAAAAACACGTCATTATTAAAAAAAGAAACCATAATGGTAAATGTATGTAAAATAGGAGATTAACTCAGATATAGCATGAGCACACCACAATAAAAATTGTTTTTCTCTTAAATCTCATTCATTTCTTAATGGGCTTAACCCATCTAACCACCTCCAAATTTGTTCTCTTCTCCCCCAAGTAAAAGAAAAGAAAATGCACTTCTACCTTCTAACTGCCTTGGACTTTATTACATTTGTTGCAAATTTAATCAATGTACATTTCTGATCTTGAGTCAGTAGGATACTTTGCTCTTCTCCCAGTAAATATATAAACAGGACATTTTGTTCTCTTTTTTTCGATGTTATTTATGGTCAATCAGATTCAACTTCAAGGCTATTATAATCATTGAATATTTATATCTGTACCATATGTACTGGCTTAGCAGATTTGAAGGTAACGCATGAAACAGATAAGAGATATTATGCCTAGTTACTAAAATTATTGTTTGTTTATGGTAGATATTATGTCCAGGGCTAGAAATTGAAGGTAATGTTCGACATTTTTTTTAAATAGTTGTTAATTTTTCTTGTTAACTTGATTTTGAAAACTTACACTTACTTATTTTTTATATAGCTGAAAATGGTCGAAGACGTAAAAATAAAAGACTCATGATGTTGAATGATTTATACCAACATCCTTCTAAGGACTGTGCGAAAGTTTCAAAAAAACGATGTCGACCAATCTATTGGTCAAAAACATGTGTTTTGTTTGGTTAGTTATGGTTGCACACAATGCTACACTTTTACCGATCAATTATAACTCAATTGTAATTTATATGTACTTTGAACACTATTGTGATTTTTAGGATAAACTTAATTTAAAGGTCTCAAACGATTATTTGAAACGAGCGTTACGAAAGAAATTAAGTTATCATAAGAGTTCAAAATAATCTCAACCATAAAGAAAAACTACGAAATTTCCCACATAAAATACTCAAGTATCAATGAAAAGATGCAACTAGATTTTGAAGTTCAAAATAAGATTATTATGCACTTTAAAAAATGATATTATGGTATTATAATATTAATTTTATAAGTAATGCACGTATCAAATTGTATGATCGAGAGCATGTGGGAGTTACTAGCAACAAACAACATAAATTTACTCACACAACTGGATCAAAGAGCTTTGCTCGTATAGCTGACGACGATATATTATTTTTTAATTATTAATTATTCACAAAAAGATTTTAAGTTGGTAGCACACAATAACAAAAAATTATTTTTATTATCTATTATTTTTTCCATGAGAATTAATTTTTATTTTACATTGTAAGAGGTTATGTCCGATAGTAAAGTTGAATAAATAAAGCTCTTCGACATGATACACACAAAAAATACTCTCCTATGACTTTGGAACTGCAGAAATTATGATATACTTATTAGATATAAAATTTGAATTATGTTATATTTATATCATAGTATAACATTTTTATTTTAAGAGTAAATTACAAATTTAGTAATTTAAATATTTTCTCCCTCCTATTTCACTCTATACATTAATTTTTATCACTAAACAATGACATGAACTATTTTATTATTATTTTCATATGACATGCCATATTTTATTAGTATTTCAATATTATATAAAATTTAAAAAAATAAATATGTTAAATTATACCTCCTACTCCTAAATTCTCAAATTATACTTTAAACCCTAAATACCAAATTCTAAACCCACCCCTATCATCACCGAAGGTGATGAAGATCAAATCATTCCCCCAAATCTTAAACCCAAAAATCATACCCAACTCTCATCCTCAATAATCCACCTTCATCAACCACAACAAAGAGTTCATAACCAGTTGTCGTCTGTATTGCCCCCAATACTTATTAATTATTGTTACTAGAGATTTAAATCACAGTTGCGGTCGTGTCTTCCGCGATTATGGACATAGCAGGTGCTATTGCGGCCATAGTAGGTATATCGGAAGACAGTTCTACCGCTATTTCACGGTCGCGGACCGCTATTTAAAACCCTAATTACTACTATCTTCGATGAATCTTTTGGCAGCAGGAGGTTATCGAGGGTTCATTGCAGCTTGTAATTTTGGTGTTCATCTTTAAAGTTTGCTGGGTTGTAAAGTTGGTGTTCATCTTTTATAGTTTATTCGCTTCTTTAAATCATCATCTCGTCTATCACACCCCTCACAAGAAATTTAAGATTCAATATCCAAAATTTCAAATTTGATTTGAATCGAAGCTGGCAGATCCATAAACCACCGTCCATCGGTACCCATCCCACAAGTAAGGTCGTCGATGAGCCACTGTTCGCTAGTAGGAGGGTGAAATTGTTAACAGTGAGGGTGGGTGGGATTATAAATTAAAATTTTTGGTTTGAGGTATAATTTGAGAATTTAGTTTTTGGATCTAAAATTTAAAGGTATAATTTAGAATTTTTAAATTTATTCTTTTACAATTTTATTTGATATTAAAATATTAATATAATATGACATGTCATATGAAAATAATAATAAAGTCAATCATAATTTTGGTTCTTAAAGAATGAATCTTCTAATATAACAAATGTCTTTTTGCAATAAATGAATCTTCTAATACAATAAATGTCTTTTTGCAATAAGTCTCGATTCAAGTCATTTTATGATGTTCTCTTGATCAAAAGGGAACAAGTGTTATATTCCATTCGGATCTCTTCCACAATCGTAACTCCATTGATAAAATCTCCACATATCGTGACCTTCAGAAAATTTTGAAGCCTCTGGAATTCTATATCTTTTGGACTATTATAATCACTTGACGTAATTACTGTTAATCTCTTCATTTACTAAATATGCTATATAAAATTCAAGTCCCAAAACTCTTTAGGTTGATACACAAAAGCAACATGATTATATCCAGTGAAAGACTGCATAAAATTCAAGTCCTACATCTTTTAGTTTGTTCGAAAACTTTAAACTCAACCAAGTCTTTTATAAAATAGTTGTGGGTGATTGAAGAAGAAGACAGGTGGATTATTTTTTTACTTTAATTATGAACTCAAATTTATGTTAATGGGTTAATAGGAGTTAACAATCGAGAGATTAAAATCGAACGAATCGATAATATAAAATATAAAAAATCACAATATCTTTTAAACCGGTACTAAAATCGAATGTACCAAAAACATAATATACCATCTGTATAATTCATCATATAAAATGAAATATCTCTCTTTGACTATTTTTCTTATTCTAAAACTATTGTTCATATTTTTTTAACTTATCGATTCTCCCTTTCATATCTAAAAAATCTCTATCTAGTATTCTTCATCCAAACTATAAGAAAATTATAAGAAAAGAACCGATAAACATCACCAATTCCATTAATGTCATTAACAAAGATAATTTTTTCATCTAAACAGATGTGATTTAATATAAAATTATCGATAGTGAATTAGACCCTCTCTAATTAGAATTAAATTTGCTCATGATCCAACAATGACTGATTCATTAAGCTATTTTATTATTAAAAAAAGATTTTATAAAAATTAAGCCTTAATAATGGAGTATTATTTTATTTATAAAAGTTGGATGGGAAACCATTGAACAGAAGGGAAGATAAGGAAAGAAGAGGGTT